TTTTGCAGCAAAGATTGTTGCAACAGCATCCATGAATTTTGAATTTTGTTGCACGGGTTCTACCTCGGGTCCGCAAAAGCAACTGTCCTTGGCTTGTCTTGCTAGTTCTGAAGATACTTGTTGCTGATATCTGGTTTCCTGGTATGCAGTGATCGTGACACTCTAACATTAGCATACCCGGAAATGCGCCAGGAACAATTTATCACTGAAAAAATTCATGGAATTTGGGATTTTTAACGTCAGCGCTGAGCCATAAAGCATCATCAGCTTACATGCTTCTCACTGGTGCACTCATTTTGAACTGCTTTTGCTTCTCTTTTTTCCCCTCTTGTATTCAGTTTTAAGTTCGATCTTGCTTCAGACCCAACTATGATTAAGTTTACAAGTTTAATAAAGGAGCCCATTCATTCTGACATTGTAAATCTGCCCCAGTACCATGAATTCAATAACTAGCAATCTTACTTCTTATCAAAGCTGAAAGAACTGATCTGAAGTCCTGCAGTGATAGTGCCTTTCATATGAGGTGTTATTTCACAAAATCAAAAGATTGCTGCAATTATTTTCTAATACAATTATTTTCGGGGAGCTGCCAAAGATAGAAACTGAGGATAGTCTGAGCTCGCATGATATTTCTTACCAGCAAAATTCACGTCTATAACCTTGTATGAAGAATCAGAACGAAAAGAATTACCATAGAAGCAACTGCATTTCACAAGAAAGTGTCACTTTTCGAAACATTTTTTAAAAAGTTTTAACATTGTTTTGTTTTCTCCTCGAAAAGCATGGCAAAAAAGAAAACAAGTTTCAGTGAGTTTTGCAAGAGCAGAATTTCCAAAAAATTAAAGGCGTTCCGCAAAATAATTATTGTCTCGGGGCATAATTTTTTAGCTAAATATTTGGCAGTGCTATTCGAAATTCCTAGTTCAAATTGATACGGTAATTTTTCGAGAAATTTTTCTTCATAGTAACTTTAACTTTAAAATTATAAAACACTGCAAAGTGCCTAAAAAAGGAGAAAATGGGAAGAACAAAACTTGGATCTCATCACAGTCACTTATCAGCTTATCCATTTGTACTTCACTAAGTCAAGTTAGTTGACGAAGATTTTATAGATGTGTATTTATAGCTTGATAGAAATGAATATCGCAGCACAAAGGTTTTGCCGTTGAATTTTCGGAAAATGACAAAAATGTTCATGCGCCAGAAAGATCAAAAAGTTAACTGGAAATTAGTAAGAAGATACGCGTAGAAATATGTCAATTAAAAAAAATAAAAGAAAAACAAAAACATGGATAATATTACAAATAAATGTGGAAACAAATTGAAACCAGTTATGCAAATGTATATGTGCGTGTGTGTTAAAAAACTCGAATTTGAATGAAAGACAAAAATGCATTGAAACCTAAAATTCAGCATAGACCGGAGACAATATGCAGTGATAAATTATACTGAAAGTATTAAATGTGTGAAGAAATGCACGATTCTTTGATTTAGGCAAGTTGATGCACACTTAAACAGAAACTTCGTTTTAGAGTGGAAAAAATTTCGATTAGCTCAGAAATGTCTCTCGGAAGTTGCCTACAGCTACAGAGCAGTCGCGCGTTCTGCGTATTGCACTTTAACCCTTTCAATTTCATTATTTTAATTCGTCATAAAGCAAAGTGAAGCTTGCAGACTTGTTTTCAGAATACGGTGACGTGCCGGGTGTTTTGCGTTTTGGAAAGCGTATTGAGAGAGTGCTCTATGATTCCGATAAAAGGGATGTGCCTGGCGTCTTACGTTTCGGCAAAAGAGACCAGGAAAAAAAGAACGTACCCGGTTAGATTATTGAGATTGCCCTAGCAGCCATCAGAAAGAAAATTTCTTTGCAGTGTGCAATTTTGTATAAAAATGCGCGGTGATCTAAACAGACTATTGATATTGTTATTACCATTATTATTATTATTGTTATTATTATTATTATTATTATTTATAATAATCGAAAAAACACAGTGATTTTCTAACGCTAAAAAAAGTTTAAGAAACAAAGGGTTGCATTATAATGTTTGTTTATCACCGCAAATGCGCATGCGAACGAGAAAAAAGATTTATTGTGCCTGTTGGCAATTAATGAGCGTTGCAAATTAGTGTAGTGGTACCTGCGAGGAAAAAAAGCGCCCATTTGGCGATTTCCATTCCTGCAAAAATTTCCAAAGTGGCACGCATCCATCGAGCAAACAATGAGTATAGATACTGATCGGAATTTTGCAACCGGCGATCGGAGAGCCCAAGGACATCACTCTGGGTTTGCGACAGCATCCCAGTAACATCAATAACACGGGAGTCCACTCCGATTGCCCGGATGGCCCTGGCAACCGTTGGCTGCATCTATACAGTATTGAAAGAAGTTATTTATTAGACTTAAGGAAAAAGCTATTCAAAAAGTAAATGTTAGCGCTGCTTTTGGTGGGAAATGATTTTGACATACGAACAGCTCAGGTTATGGTTCTGTTGATAATTAGTCTTACTATCGTTTCCAATTTCAGGAGTGCTGAGATTTGGCAAAAGGGAAGAGGATATTCCGGGGGTGCTTCGCTTTGGCAAGCGTGAAGACGTTATGCCCGGAGTTTTGCGATTCGGCAAGAAGAATGATGTGCCCGGTGTTTTGCGGTTTGGAAAACGGAATGAAGTACCAGGAGTGCTACGTTTCGGGAAACGTACAATGCCGGGAATGCTGCGATTCGGACGTCGCTAAATAAACACTTTCTTAATGTACGATTGCATATTCATTTTTGACAGTCTTAAACAGTGCTTGATTCATCATCTTTTTTTTTTTACAAAATTCATCGGAAGCTAAAGTAGCAGCCACAAGCTTTCAAAGCGAACACAGGAGGTTGTCGTTCGTGACAGTGGCAAGAGCTCTTCCACTGAGATGTAATTTGGAGCCGCCACCACAAAAACTAGGCAGTCCTTTTACAACTGACTGATTCCTTCTGATCGTATGCTTGTATTGGCATATTTAGTAGGATGGCAGTTTAACTGGCTTTCAGATTTTTCTTGGATGAAAAAACTAAAGCCAGCGTTTTTAACCGTTAGTTACTGTCAGTGAAAGAGCTGTAGTTTGGTCAAAAGATGACTGCTTTGAAAGATATGAAGTTTTTAATTTTTGCGGGAAATGAATGAAATTTTGAGTTCAACCAGAATACCGAAGCGTAAGCGGGCACATTCAAAATCACATCTTGCCTTTTCTTCCATGGAATATTACGATTCACTTTTCAAAGCAAATCAAAGAATACTGCACCATCAGTGCGGAGTTCTCAGTTTTACTAAGGAGTAGATCACCCATGTCGACATATTTCTTCCTGAATTACCTACCTCCAATTGTTACTTATGTAAATCTCCTAAGCCTGTACATCACTTTATAATGAATCGTCCCAATCACTGCTTCCTGATTCGTGAATATCAGTTGCAGATCGGGCCATATAAAATTTAAAAAACATTTTTTGCAGGATTGGATACGGTGATACACAGTGCTGCTGCAACTCGACGAGATGGCATTTTCCATGCAAACATCGCTCGCCGCAAAAACCTTTTGTGTTTCTATTGTGTAACTATTTAAATAAATAAAAATAGCTCCTTCCGATTAAATCTTCCAATGAGTGTGTTAAACAGCGTAACTGTACATCAATGCACAATTTCCCGCACAAGCATGTGGTCAAATCTTACTCTGTAGGTCGAGCTCATAAAGAGTTTTTCATTATCCATCTAAAGTATTTCACAACCCTTTTGTTGTTTTCAGCAACAATCCGCGAAAACTTCCGAATTCTCACAGCTTCAATCTAGCAACTTAACATCTGCTGTTTAGTGAGCACTATTCAAATCTTTTAATGCAGTCTCCCTCAGTATCAGCTAGCAAAGGTTTGAATATAGCTGTTTTCATTCAGAATAGTGATTAGCAGTGTGAGATCGCAGCATAAGTGAAGTTGCAGGTTGGAAATCCGCCCTCGAAAATCAGCTTTACTGTCTGACTCCCTATTATGGATGCAAAAATTCCTTGGAAATGACTGAGTGGTTGATTATTTCAAATGTCCGCACAAATGAGAATTATTCCTGCATTAGAAATGTTTTCGTTTGATAAAAATTCTGATCAAAGCACAAATCCATCGTTATCGAAGTCCTTTTATACACCAGCAAAATTTTTACAGTATAATATAAAATAATACAATAAGATGTAGAATTAAAGTCACTGTAATGGAGATCGTGCCCAAAGGCTAAGTGCCTCATCCAAAGGTACTTTGTGCACCATAACTGATGATTGCAATGTTTGGGTCCTTAGTGACCTAGGGCGATATGTCAAGTCACAAACGACCCGAGACTGCGCAACGTACCGGACTATGTAATAGCAAAAAAAGTGTGAGATGCTCGAATCTCTTTAAGTCCTGAGCGTCCCACATTATGATCCAGCGTCTCTTACTGGGCCATTCTGGAACTGCTACCCAGGAGTCTTTGATTTCGTCGATACCAGTATGGAAAGCATTTACCCATTGACAATAAAGAAAGACTGCTGTTCAGTTGCGCCGCAATAAAGAGCCTTTCGTTCAGCCACCGCACTGGGCGTCCTGATAAATACGCACCCCTCCCCAGTTGTTTTTGTTCTTCGTCTTTTAGACTGCCTGTCCGATGAGCCCGCCGTTTGTTATGCGTTTTTTTGCATTTATCCAATGCAGGAAACGTATATTGACAAGAGGTTTTCTGTGTATGTGTCCGTCTGTGTATTTGTGTGTGTATGTGTGTGCGCTGCGCGTTTGCACCGATTTTTCAACTCGAGACCCATAAAAGCTACAGGGCTGAAACTTTGAGAAATTAATCTAGATGCGTGTACGGGCCCCATTTCCGAAGTGGACTCTCTTACCCACGTGGTACCCACGTACGCGCCTGCCAATATTTTTTTCGGGTAAGCTGCCAAATCGGGAACCTGAGAAGCTAGAAGACTGGAATTTTGAGGGGATGTTCCCAGTCCACATAGGTCCTAATGAGTTCAAACCTAGCCCCCGAGTATGCGTGATTCCTATTTACGAGCCTGTGAAATTTTTTTGCGGGTAAGTTAGTAACTCGAAAAGTTAGAAAGCTGAAATTTTAAACGGATGCTTCCTAACAGTCTTGACGGCCAGTCTCAGTTCCTTTAGCTAGAAAAATTTACTGGAAAAACAGGTACTGGTAGCAACAAAAACTGTGAGGAGCTGTGCAAAAAACGCATCTTCGCACAGGCGGTCGGTACGTTGGCCAATTGGTGCGAACACACAGACACACACACACACGCAAACACACACAGACAGCCTCTTCCCAATCTGCGTTTTTGCAATTTACATATATGCAAAAACGCATAAAAATGACCGCTAAACGGAAATTGCCCACTTTGGTTTATGCAAAATTTATAACAATTTGCGGTACTGAGCGAAGGTGTGTATGAGGAGACAACCGTTCATGCAGTTAACCTAGTTACTTTAAGTTCAGTGCAAAAAAGCATGATCGCACTGGCTCTCCTGTTGTGTTTCGGCCTGGGTTTTAGATAATTTCCTCTCCGGTATGCTTTTTTAATAGTTTCAGAAGGAAAAAAAAAGGAATTTAACTGCCGACTGAAATAATTCGGAAGAAAACGCAGTTGCAGGCGCGGTTAAAAGTGGAAGCCATTTTAAAAATAAACTAAAATTTTGCTGGAAAACGTTTTTGAAAGAACAGCAGGAATTTTTTTTTAAAATTTAGTGCCAGACCTTATTGAAACTAATATATTTTAAAGGAACAGAACAAGCAAAAGTGTCAAAGTAGCAATAATTTTCACAAAAAAATGATTTTGCACAAATATCTCTAAAAATAAATTAAAATTTTACTGAAAACGTTTTTGAAGGAACAACAGGAATTTTTTTTAAAGAAAAATCAGCATGTCCTTCAAAATACCTCAAGATCGAATGATGCCGGTCTACAAACGATTCATGAAAAATGAGGAATGAATACCTTTAAGTGATATCAAGGAAGTGATGAGTGGGCTGCCGGTAGGATAAAACGGTCTAGATGTATATTTCTGTGGACGAGAAAAGATTT